AAACATTCCACCAAGGTCAGTGACTCAGCGATCCAGATGCCTGTTAAGAGAGGTCCATAATACTCTGGCCCTGCCAAGTTCAGGGAATGGGGTACTAAGCCTGTCAGTACTCTTCTGGGGCCAGGCCAACAGAAGAAACCTAAGAATGTATCTGAGCAACCAGAGTCCTGGCTAGGAGCCTCATATGTGTCCCCTCCCCCTTGAAGGTGCTGTAGTTTTCCATACTGGGAAATTCTTAAAACTCAGGTGACTCACCAGCTCTTTCATTTGAGCCAAAGATGAACTCCAGGTCTCCTCCCTCTTCCCCTCTTTCCAAGCCCAGCCTCAGCCAGGTAATACTTGGCCATATCATCTCAGAATGATACGGGGGTCAGCTCACCTAAGGCTCCCACCCTTCATTCTTGCTGGTTAGCATAATTTCAAGAGTGTGGAGTTCTCCTTGAAATAGGGTTGCCAGATTTGACAAATAAAAATACAGGACATCTGGTTACATGTGTATTTCAGACAAACCATGAATACTGCCTCAGTATAAATATGTCCCAATTTATCTGACACTCTACCTTGGGAGCATTTAAATGTCTTCCATTATCTTAGAGAAAAGGTTGGCAAACTTTTTTCTATAAAGGGCTGGAGAGTAAATGTTTTTGCCAACTTTGCTGTGTAGCATTGAAGCAGCCATAGATAATGCAGAAACAAATAGGCCTGTGTTCTATAAAATGTTATTTATGGACATTGACCTTTGAACTTTATATAATTTTCACATATGATGAAATATTATCCTTTATCCTTTTTCTTTTCCCCAACTATCTAAAAATGTAAAAACTATTCTTAACTTATAGGCTGTCCAAAAAGCTAGATTTGGCTCATGAGTCATTGTTTGTCTACCTCTGACCTAAAGGAGAAGAATCAAACCTTTCTCTGACTCCAAATCACCAGAGGATTTGTAAAAACACTAGGCCCCACTCCCAGAGTTTCTGGTTCAGTAGGTTTTGAGCAGTGCTTGAGAATCTGAATTTCTAACAAGTTCCTAGGTGGTGTTGATGTTGCTGATTGGGGACCACATTTTGAGAGCCACTGACTCAGAAAATCACTTCCCCCTAACACCAGCCTCTCTGTCTGGGGTATATTAAAGCTCTTCTCAGTCTTAGGAGTGCTTTTCCATAAGGATCACAGATTATATCTTTGTTGGAAGGACCCCTGTTCTCAATAATAATCTCTCTGTATACTTGCTACTGGAATATTCTCTTTTAGCTAGCCTTGGGACAAAGCTGGGGTGAGAACTTCTAGGGTATATGGTTTTTAAAAAATAGCTTCCCTCTCCCTCTACCCCCCAATCATTAAAAATGATACACTTATACATTTAAAAATCTTTTATTTGGGATAATTTTTAGATTATAGAAAAGCTGAAAAGAGGGTAAAGAATGTTTCTGTATACTCTTCACCCAGTTTCTTTCAATGTTAACATCTTACATTACCAATGTACAGTTTTGTCAAAACTAAGAAGCCAACAGTAGTGCAATACTATCAGCTAAATTCTAGACTTTGAACTTTACCTGTGTTTCCACTAATGCCCCTCTTCTGTCCCAGCATCCCAACCAGGGTGTCACATTACATTCAGTTGGCATGTCTCCTTAGGCTTCTCTGGTCTGTGCAAGTTTCTCATTGTTGCCTTACTTTTCACAATGTTGGCAGTTTTGAAGAGTACTGGTCAGACATTTTGTAGAATGTCTCCCAATTTGCCTGATGTTTTCCTTATGATTAGTCAGGGTTTGTGGGTTTTTCTGGAAAAATATTACAGAAGTGAAGTTCCCTGTTTCTCTCCTCATATCAACATATCAACATGAATTTTCACTGGTAATATTAACTTTGATTACTTGGTTAAAGTAGTGCTTACCAGGTTCCTCAACTGTGAAGGTATTATTTTTCCCTTTCTATATTCAACTCTTTGGAAACTGGCCAATAATTCAAGTCCACCCTCAAAGTCGGGGGAGTTAAACTTCTGGCAGGGGGAGTATCTACACATATTGCTTGGAATTCTGTATGGAAAATGAGTCTCTTCTCCCCCATTTATTTATTTATTAAATACTTTATATCAGCATGGGCTCATATATTTTTTCTTTATACTCGAGGCTATAATCCAATACCATGTTATTTATTTTGTTGCTCAAGTAGTTCTAATTTAGGTCATTAGGAGCACATTCAAGTTGGCTCCCGTGTCCCTTTGACATGCCCCCCTTCCTTTTAGTCTTTTAGTACTTTCCTACTTTCTGGCAATACAAGATGCTCCAAGGTTATCCAGTATTTTCCATGCCTCACTCCTAGAATCAGCCATTTATCCAAGGAGCCCTGTTTTCTTTCATCAAAGATTAGTATTAGAAACCAAAATATGGATGCTAGTTGTACTATGGCTACTAAAAAATTAAAAAAAGAATAACAATTCAAGTAAGGAGAGGGTTAAAGAATATATCCCTAAATTCCATCATTAAGAAATGAGGAAGCTTAGCACATATAAATGTCCTTTTAGATCTCTCTCTAGATATATATGACATCTATCTGTGCTAATTAGCTCTCCATCCACATAATTTTTTCATGCTAAACATACCCTTCTATAACCTGACTTATGAATTTAATATGTCATAAGCATCTTTCTGTATCTATAAATTAAACTCTATTTCACTAACTTTAATGACTGCCTTTTTTCCATTTCATGATGTATCATAAATTACTTTACCAGTCCCTATTAATGGTCAGTTAGGACCTTAGGATTGTTAGGAAACAATCTCTGTTTTATATTTTCCTGCACTCTGCTGAGTAGTTCCTTGAAACAAATGGATTTTATTTTGGAACAAAAGACTCGACATTGTCTACCTTTCTTGTGCATGCTACCTTTATAAACAAAAATTTTTTAACTTTTTAAAAATTAAAAATGTAATAATGCTCACTGTAAACAATCAAGCAATGCAGATGTGCATGAAGTAAAAAGAAAAAAACATGTGTTTCCTCCTAAGAGGTAACCCCTGTAAGTGCAGATTTGGAAGTGAGACCACCACAAATTTCACCACATACTACAGTATGATCTTGGGCAAATGATCTAATATCTGCACACTTCAAAATTCTCATTTAAAAATGAGGCTCACAATAGTACATATTCCACCAGTTTGTGAGAATGAAATGAGATGATGTATGAAAAAGATCTTATGAATGGATAAAGAAGATGTGGTACATATACATAATGGAATACTATTGAGCCATAAGAAGAAAACAAATCCTACCATTTGCAACAACATGGATGGAGCTGGAGGGTATTATGCTCAGTGAAATAAGCCAGATAGAGAAAGATCAGTACCAAATGATTTCACTCATTTGTAGAGTATTAACAACAAAGCAAAACTGAAGAAACAAAACAGCAGCAGACTCATAGACTTCAAGAAGGGACTAGTGGTTACCAAAGGGAAAGTGGGTGGGGAGGGAGGGATAAGGGGATTAAGAGGTATTGAGATTAGCACACATAATGTAGGGGGGCCACGGGGAAGGCAGTATAACAGAGGAGACAAGTAGTGACTCTATAGCATCTTACTACGCTGATGGAGAGTGACTGTAATGGGGTATGTGGTAGGGACTTGATAATGGGGGGAATCTAGTAACCACAATGTTGCTCATGTAATTTTATATTAATGACACCAAAAGAAAAAAAAGAGAAAAAAATCTTAGTGCAGTTTCTGGTATATAATAAATGCCCAGTAGATGCACACTATTATTATTGTTAATTTTCATTATAGTTTTTTTCTAGGTATGTGTATTTTTTAATAGCAATTCCTAACTTGCTGTTCCAGTGGATTCTAAAGACTTTTGATCTAGACTCCTTACCTTAATTCATATTTTTCAAAGAGTGGTCCTCAATTTGAATCAGAACCTCTGGGGATAGACTCCAGGAAGTTCATTTTATCAAGTTTCCCGAGGGAATCTGATGTCCACGAAAATTGGAAAATCATACTCTTGGACACTAAAAAGCCCAGAAAGGGAAAGGAATGGAACATCAGAAGAAGGGGTCAACCCCAGCTGGTCAATGCTTACATTGGGGACATCGGGCCTGAGAGAGACCTGGGTTTGAATCACAGTGACTAGTGTGGCCTTATGTCATGATATGACTGAGACTGGCACACCTGATTGGTTCCCTCTCGCTCACTTTACCTTTAAGTCCTAGACAATCGTCACTTTTTAGCTAGGCTTTTCCTGACCACACTGAAATTGTCTCCCTCCTCCACTCCCCAGCCCGTTTTACTTTTCTCAGTATCATTTATTACCATCTAACATACTGTCTTACATGTCTCATCCCTTCAAGTTCCATGAAAGCTTTACTGTCGTATCCTCCGTGCCTAAAACAGAATGCCACGTCATATGGACTCATTCTGTGTTGCATGAGTAAACCCACTGGTAAAAACTAAAATATTTCTACCTACTGGAGTTACTAGGGCTCTTTGGAGTATTAATGAGACGATACATGTAAAAAGCTTGCAACTCAGTGTCTAGGCACATACTGACCGAGTTACTTTTCCTCCAGCTTGACGGAGGTATAACTGCCAAATAAATTGACTGCATTACTATTAATCTACTATGCTCCTTAGTCGGCTGAGCCCCGGGAGAGGGGTGAAGGGATCTCGAACTTTTCTGGGAGATTTTTACTGTTGATCACCTCCCTTTCCCCTACTGTCTCCTGGGTCACTCTCCCAGAGGAGTTCCTGGTTCCTCAACAATTAATCAAAGACAAGTCTAACTGGTCCTTCAGCACAGAGGATAAATAGGATAAACAGGAGCAGCCGAGCCCTAACTTCGACCAAGGGTATTTCTCCTCTCCTCATTCCCCGGTAGGTTAACTCGGAAGGGACTTCAACAGCCGCCTCTTCTTGCTACGTTTAGTCCTCCAACCACGGGAGAAAGTTTTTAGGAAGGAAGCAACAGGAGGAAAGACGAGACGCGGAACTTCCCTTTCTGCACCGGCGCGTTCAGTGGCAGGCCTGAGACTATCGCGATAGACAAGCGAGATCGACTCTGGCCCTTTAACAGCCCCTTCCCGGGGCCCTGCCCCGCGCGTGCGCACTGCCGTTCTGCGCTTGTCATCATGGCGACGCGGGGCCATGTGCAGGACCCTAACGACAGGCGCCTCCGGCCCATTTACGGTGAGTGCCTGGGGCCAGCCTGGTGTCCGGCTGGGCGCGTCAAGGGTTGCCAATACCGTGGCGAAGGCCCCGGAGGGGCGCTGAGGGGTCTGGCGGGGAACTGGCGGGCGCGGGGGGCGGGCCGCGCGGGCCTCTAGGCCTCAGTCGCCGGCCTCGCGTAGTCGCCGGCCGGGCCTTCCTGAGCCCTGAGGTGGCAGCCGCGCCGTCCGGGCAGCTGCAGGTCATCAACAGAGCTAGTCCGGCAGGCTGGCCTGGTGAGACCCATTCTCTCGCGGAGACCTGCGCTGCCCACAGGCTGCGCTGTTAGTGCCGCACCAAGGAAGACCCAAGATCTCACCGCAGGTGGAAGCTGGTTCCGGCGTGGAGTGGGATACCTTACTTAAGGGAGAATTACCACTGAGGACTGTATTTACGGGAAACGGGCCTAGGCGGTTGTCTGACCAGCTGTGAGAAGTGCACATAGAGAAATGGAGGTTTGAAGAGGGGAAGGGGCTGTTACAAGGTCACCCACATCGAGTCAGGAGCAGGCCCGGATTCGAGGCCCCCAATCCAAGGCTCTTTGCTGGAGAAACAGCTGCTTGGGCACAGGTGGGAGGCAGGGATTGGGGGCGGAGGGAGGGTGTCTTGGGCCTAAAATAGCTGTGGAGAGACTGCAATAGCTCACATCAGAGGGGCATGCAAGGCTGCTGCAGGGCCTTTCCTTTCTGCGGCTTCTCTGCTTTTCTCTGTAGCACAGCTAAGTGGATCCTCCTGCATAACGCTTACCTCAACTCGTAGGCTTTAAGACCTTGAGGTCATCCTGCTCCTCAGGTTGTGAAAAATCACAGATTTGAGTCTAGGAGAAACACCTTTTCAGTAACTGAAATGTTCTGTAACAGTGGTCCCTTTTGCATTTCCTTTCCTCTTAGATGGTTGTATGGTCTTGGTCTTTCTCAGTTACTAGGGATTGAAGGCGTGTCAAGGACAGTGGTTTTTGCAAAATTAGACCTCGTGTTTGTAGTGTGGATGTTACTAAATGGAGGCTGCTCTGAGTAGCTGAGATTATTTAACTTTTTGAGGAGGGTTATGTTTCTGGCACAATTGGTACTGCTTTTATTTTATAATTTGTATGATGCTTTACTCACATCTCATTTGATTGCAGCAACAGTCCTCTGAGGTGGGTAATAATTATAGTTACTGGGTATAGACCCATATTGCTGTTGTTGGTCACAGTCCTTGGCCTTTATGTGGGTTATCTCACTTAATCTTCACACATTCTCATGCGGTGGGCAGTTTTTTCTAGTCCAAACCCTCCCTCCGTCCTTTTTTTTCCCCCACAGGTGAGAAAACTGGGGCTTTATTGATGTGTAATTTGTCTAAGGTCACTGAGTTAACATTTGGTGGAACTATGATCTGAATCCCTGTGGACCATTCCAGGCTCACCCCCTTAACCACTGTGCTAGAAACCACCTCACTTTGAGCTGAGGACCCTGACTTGTCAAAAGTCATACAGGTGGTGAGTGACAGAGAGATAAGACTCTGATTTCTGTTTTCACAAGGCTGCATATTATCATGCTCTCCAGTATATATTTTTAGAGGGCATTGATGAAATATACAAGGGTGTTTGAGGGCAAGTACTGAATCCAGGGCTTATTGTGGCTTATTGCAGCTCTGTGCAGTAGCTGCCTGCATACTTTTTTCTTTTTTAACTAAAAGGATTCAAAACTTTTAAGAATAATGGGATTTCTAAAATTGTTCTTGAGACCAAAGAAAATGCCTTTGGTATCCCATAAGTCATTTAGAAATAGTAGTGTTTTGAATTGTCCAGTTAGAAAAACTGTCAGTTTTACATTGTTAAACCTCCGGGTATGTTAACCAGAAGTGACATGTTACATTCTCAAAACTGGAGCCAGAATTATGTAGCTTTTGTTATAGTTATATGGTAAGAGGATTAGAAAAGGCTTTCTTTAGGACTTCCAAGGCAATTGACATAAACTGGCAGAATTAGGATAAAATATGATACAGACTACCCTTGCCTTAAGCACTTTTGACTTTTGACCTCCAGAATTTGGGACAGCTCCTGCTTTTTTGTGTTTAAATACATTAGTACCCCATAACTATTGTTCCTTGAATCCAGACATTTCATTAGTTGGCAAATGAACAAGCTCATGCCGGGTGGCACTTGCCCACCAGCCAAAAGTTCAACAACTGTCCACATTGAGTGCTTATTCGTATGCTAGCTGTCCTCTTAGGCGAGATTATTGTGATCATAGTACTAAACTGAAGGCCAGAGATTAACTTGCTCAGAGTTGCACCTAGTAAATTGCGGAGCTACGTTTTGAAAACAGGCAATCTCACTGAGAGCCCAGTCCTTCACTGGGTTTAGATTCAGCAGCATTGCCATCTTTGTACAGTAGTATTTGTACTGCCAAGGTTTTAGGGTTTTACAATATTGGAAACTCCCTGTGACCTCAGCTCTTGCTGAATATTGTTGAGAGTAGAGGTAGACAGGACTATAAGGGTGATTAATTGTGAAACTGTGGTGGGTTGATATGTGGTGGGTTGAAGTTCTGTTTTCAGTGTCTAGGTTTGGAATAGCTTTTCTGTGTAGAAATTTGATTAATTGATTAGTTCAGAGTGCATCTTATTACTCAAACTGGTTAGTTTGGATATTGTGTTTTCAGTTTTGAAAACTACCCCTGACCTTATCAGAACATCTGCCCAATTATTAATTGTTTCACTAAAATTTCTCTTGTGCTATGTTCTCAACAGATTTTTGTACTCTCAGGTGATTGGTGAGCCCCAGTGCTTTCTTCTACCATTATTATTAATTTAAAAATGTATTTAGTGATCAGGGGGCAAGGAGGGGTGGATGTGATGATCAGGTATGGCACTTAATACATCTGTATAGAATACATTAATTGCTAGGTCAGCAATTGCAAAACAAATAGAGAAGTTTCAAATAAAAATAATCCCATAGTCATCAGAATACACATACATATTTATGTTTACTTTTCTAGCATAAGATAATTTGTTCTGATCTGTTTTACTGGCTTACAGTCTTGCTGTAGTCTGGATCAGGTGTAGCATATGTCCTAGTTGTGTTACCAGAATGATAATCACTTCTTTGGTGAGTTAGTGCATTTCCCTTTGATACCTGGCCAAACTCCAGGTAGTTATTCTGCTGTAGTTCATTAGTAAAAGCTCCCAAGTCTTCAGTCAAATGGGGTATTTATTCTGAGCCTTCTGTTGGACAGTGTTATCTCTATGAGTTGTGCCCCCAGGAGTTGCAGGGCATCTTGGTGAGTGAACTATCTTGCTTTTTTTGTGTCACTTGGCACAATCTATTTTCTTCTCTTCTGAAATTATGACCATTTTAAAAGCTCTGACTTTTATTTTTAAATTCTAAGCATTTTAAACTTACGAGAAAGACTTTAATGCACAGAAAATTCCTGGAAGAATGTGTAGAGTAGTGGGACCATAGGGCAAGATTAAGAAACTAATACTTTTCATGGTATACCTGTATGAACTATATGAACTATTAGGACATATGTATGTATATATATGTATATATTTTATCATGGCATGCATTACTTTTGTTATTTAAAAAATTAGTTGAAAAGAATCTGAAAAATCTGATGATTTAATGTGGGAAGCCGTCATTAATACTTGGTTCTTTGAACTTCCTGTTGTTGTCACTTTGTATGTACGATCCTCTTCCTGATAGACTATTCAGATTTCCCCTGCCACCACCCCCTAGACAGTTTGTTCATTTATGTATTCCTTTCTTCAGTTTATTTATTTATTGAGGGCCTAATATGTGCTAGGCACAGTGTAGACAATGTAGATTTAGGTAACAAGCAAGTACCAAACAGCACAGACATGGTTTCTGCTTTCAAGCAACTTGTAATCTCAACAGATTTTTTAAGTTAAGGTACATGTAATCATTACATTTGTGTTAAGGGCTTTGAAGGAAAAGTACAGGTTCCTATTAGAGCATCCAGTATGGGCATCACGGCTGTTGTGGGCAAGTCAGGAAAAGGTTCCTTGTGGAAGCAACATTTTACTTTGAATATGAAAGAAGAGTAAAGGCTAGTCAGGCAATGAGATGGGGAGAGGGAATGTGTAAAGGAGCTTGTTCCACTTAGGGCCTAGGAAAGGCTCGCATGTTTGGAATGAGAGATGGGTGAGATGAGGCTGCAGAGGTAGAATGAACCCAGAGCTTTGTTAGTCATTTAAAGGATTTTGAAATTTGTTTTAAAGACAGTGTAGAGCACGGAAGAGATTTAACCAGGAGAATAAGGTGATCAGGCTTGGATTTTAATAAGATAACTCTGAATGCTGTGGGGGAAATAGTTTAAGAGGGGGCAAATAGTAGGTGTGAGGTGATCAGTTAGGAGGCATTATTTGTTTTTAAATTCAAGCCCCAACCCCATCTTGCACATTGTAGGTATTTAACAGATTTGTTGATTAAAGGAGTGGTTCATCTACAGTTTGTATGTTCTTTTTTCTTTTTTTAATTTTGCACTTCATTTATTCCTTTAAAACAAGTCCTTCATACAGCATGCAGATATTAAAATCAGATACAGTTTGTATTTTTGATAAAAGCCAGGCCCCTCTTCTCAAACATTTAGGGTTTTTAAGCAAAAGACCGGGTGATTCAAAGACAGGACTATCTTGTATCCAGTCTTTTTTTCTGAATTGGAGCAGTATCTTTAGTAGTAGTCTCTGATGCTCTTGAGGAAGTAGAAACAGTGCAGCTTGTCATTCAGCTTCTCTTGAGATTTTTCATGGCAGCTGCAAGAACTTACAACTTAAAGGCTTTCCTTGCTATTTGCAAGACGGATCCTTTTCCTACTGTCAGTATCCCTGTATGATTGGACAAGTTAGTCCTGTGGTTTCTTCCACAGCACAAGTAGACAGTAGGCCTCCATGTGTTAGGGCCTACTGCTGCCTGCGTCTGTAGAGATGAGCTTCTGATGGAATTTTACCTAGGAAGGTGGCTTGCTCATTCATTCAACCAGTTTTGATAATCTCTTGCCAATTGTCTAACCCAGTGTTTCCCAAATGTCTATTATTCTTTTGCCCAGTCTGATTATTTTTAACTCTATTATAGTAGTATTATTTACTTAATATTTTTCTAAGTTAACTTTTACACTTAAATTTATTAAAAATAATCTATATCGTTATCAATAATGGAAAACCTGTCACTTGCCTTGAGAAAACAAAACGATAAAAACAAGTATAATGAAAACAAAACAATGTTATTAAAGCCTTAACTAGATTCTGATACTCTGAAACTCTGAGTCTGAGACCTGTCCCTTTTCTGTTTAAAAAAGGACATTAGCCAGTATTAAAGAAGTGATAGGCCAACACCAAATTGAGACTATCTCCCTAATATAAAGGAAATGATAGAAGAGAACAGCTTTCTCTCATTGAATTATCTAGTGCTGTTTGCAAGGACTACCTAAAAACATTTCACTTGGAGTGGTACCCAAGAAAACATTGGTACCATGAAAACAGTGGTACGCTTTGAAAACATTGCCATAACTGATGCATCATCGTCCTACTGTTTCCTCTGCCGATTTGTGGATGGCTGATTTTGGCTCACTCATCTTATTAAGGGAACACCACTAATCCTCATGGTCAAACCACTATTGTCCTTGAGTCAAGTTTTAAAAAGACTTAACTAAAAAGACTGGCTTAGGATATCATTTTTATTGGTTTTCCCCCCACTAAAGGCTACTTGATTTGTATTCCAGAGTCAGAAATATAAAATGAAAATAAACTTTTCCCAAAAGACTCAGCAACCAATGTCACCTAGGCATCCAGGAAAGGAGAGCCTGACAGCAAGCTGAACGAGGTGGAGTGTATGAGTTCAAACTCTTTTGGGTGTAAGGAACAAAAACCCATTGACACTAGCTCAAGTAAAGGGGGGTTTCTGCAAACCCTTGTGGGAGTCTAGGCAGGAACACAGTGTTCCCTGGCCTTAGGGAAACTGGAAAGTTGTCAGGATCTGAAGCATCTTTCTCAGGTGCTTATTTCTGCTTTTATCTGTGTGTGTCTATGCTTTTCTCTGATTCTTCAGACCTTTTTTTTTCTGCTTACTCATCAGTTTAACCAGGGCCCAGCATGTTGGCTTTGTTGCCACACCAGGCTGTGGTTAGAGAAGGGAGAGGTCATTAGCCTCTCCCCACAAGCTTAATCAGCACCACCCCTCCCAATTTTTAAATGAAGATAATTGACATTTTACATGCCTTTATAAATGTTATATAAATGAAGAGTCAAGAGATAATTCCTTTTCTTCTCTCCCCATCATCCAACTTGCATCCCCTAAGACTCCTTCAAAATGGAAATTCTGGAGCTACCACTGGTAACCTCAGATTTGAGATATTTGTTGACTTCCAAATGAGGTTCCCCACAGCTTTCTGACTCTGGCTTTCAGTGTTGCAGTTACAGATTACTAGGAAGAGACTTGATTTACCCAGTTTGGGTCAAGTATCCACCCATTGTGCTGCAGATTCATGGTCTAAACATGGTCATCCAGTCCTACCCTTTCAGCAGAGTTATTGGAAACCATTGCCAAAGAAGAGGGCACAGGTAGGTAGGTACAATATTTTAGAGTCTTGTCAGCTACAGAGAGAGAAGGTTAAATATCCTGAAAGCCCTGATCTCTGGCCTGATCCACTTATGGTCAGATCCTAGAGCTGGGGTCTCATCAAAGATACCTACTTTTTAAGAAGACTTTGAAATATGCTCTGTAAACCTGGACTCTTGCAGTCTAGGTAAGAAGTAATTCAGAACTGACTCAGAATGAGATCAGCAACAAGTTATTAGGAAGAGAAGGTGTCACTGAGCTGAAATATCTCTTGTCAGATACTCTGTAAGGACAAGTGATGGCCTGTCAGCTGAGCTATTTAAGAAAACTTGTATTAGATATTTGGTAGCAAAAGATTGTATGATTTTAAATTTCTGTGATTCTGCTCTCTCTACTTGAGTATTAGGTCATTGATCTTCCTTTCTAGATTATGGTTCCTTCTACAGTAAGGCTCTTTTTGACCTTCTCCCTAGATTGTGATTCCCTCAGAGTAAGGCTTCTTAATCTTTACATAGCATTACTTTGTGCTCATCAATATTAAGTGCATTGAAGAAAGATTGAAGAGATGAATCAAGAGATGAATCATAGACTGTCATAAAATGATAGTCTATTTCTGTTATTTGGGATACTCTGGTCCACTGTGGCCATAGATTATTTTAACTTGTTATGCCTCCTCTGTCCCCGTGCTGACTTGGGACCCTGATGAGCAAAGATGGACCAGTAGTCCTAGTAGATTGTGAACTGGCCTCTGTTCAGGCATCTTCTATATTTAGAATTGACAGCTACCATCCAGTTTTCCACTTATAATGCTTCTCATTTTTCTTTTCTGGAAATGAATCTTTGCTTTAATTTCATATATATATGTGTACACACACACATATATGTATTTACAGATAAATATATATATATTTACTAATAGACTTTATTTTTTAGAATAGTTTTAGGTTTATAGAAAAGTGAGCAGAAAGTACAGAGTTCCTATATATCCCCCTGCCGTACCTCTGCCAGTCTCCCCTATTTACCTCTTGCATTGGAGGGGTACATTTGTTACAGTTCCCAAGCCAATATGGTATGTTATTATTAACTAAAGTCCATAATTAACTAGTTTACATTAGGGGTCATTCTTTGTGTTGCACATTCTATAGGTTTTAACAAATGTATGATGGCATGTATCTTGTTATTACAGTATCATACAGAATAGTTTTACTGCCTTAAAAATCCCCTGTGTTCTACCTACTCATCCCATACTTAGCCTCTTACTGTCTATAATTTTTGTCTTTTCCAGAATGTCATATAGTTGGAATCATACAGTATGTAGTCTTGTCAGGTTGACTCCTTTCACTTAGCAATATGCATTTAAGTTTCCTCCGTGTTTTTTTGGGGCTTACTAGCTCATTTCTTTTTTATTGCTAAGTAATATTCCATTGTATGGGTGTGCCACAATGTGTGTATCCATTCATATAATTATATGAATTATAATAGATAATTCATTCATTATCTATTCATTTATATTTATTAACTTCTTGATTGCTGCCAAGTTTTGGCAACTATGAGTAAAGCTGCTATAAACATTGGTGTGCAGGTTTTTGTGTGGAAGTAAGTTTTCAACTCATTTGGGAAGATACAGTACCAAGGAGTGTGATTGCTGAATTATATGGTAAGAGTATGTTTATTTTTTATTTTATTTTATTTTTTTTGAGAGGGCATCTCTCATATTTATTGATCATATGGTTGTTAA